AAGAGGAGGAGAAGAACCATATGGAGAGTCCCTTCGAGAGAGGATCGCACGGTCGAGATCCTGGGGGCGCCCGGCCTCAAGGCCGCTTTAGTCGTGGCAGTGCGAGAGGAACTGCAGGAGAAGGACTCTGTGATGAAGAAGCTGGACCTGGATGCCTGGAAGAGACATCTCCTCAACGGTCATATACCGTACAATAGAGAATGCAAGTCTTGTGTTGTCGCTGCCTCTAGAGGACGGGCTCACAGACGCATCCCCCACGCAGACGCCTATACTCTATCGATAGATGCTGCCGGACCGTTTGAGTTGGCCGAGGATCAACTGCGGAAGGGAAGGCACCTGCTGGTTGGCGTCTATCTGGCCCCGGCGACCAAGGAGGGCCAGTCCATCATCCCCATCAACGAGGACGACGAGTTGGCCGGAGCCATGGGAGATGGGCCAGAGCTCACCGTGGTTGAGGATGGTGACGCGCAGGAGGAGAAGAAGTGGCCGGGCCTGGACGATGAGAAGGCCTGGGCGGAGAGAGTGGGGCAGGAGCATGATTTCCAGGTCAAGCAGGTGCTGATGGTAGAGATCCTGGAGAACCGCAGAGGGCCGGCAGTGGTAGAGGCGGTGGGCAGGATGGCGGCCAAGTTGACCTTCTTGGGATTTCCACTCCTTCGTCTCCACTCAGACCGCGCAGGTGAGTTCCAATCCAAGAAGTTCGACCGTTGGTGTCGAAGGAGGGGTCTGTGGCGCACCTTCACCGATGGAGACAACTTTCGAGGCAATGGCCGTGTGGAAGGTGCAATTGCACAAGTTAAGAGAGGTGCTAGAACCCTACTTCTGGAGGCGGGCCTGGATGAGAGCCATTGGTGTCATGCCTCGAGACACTGGGCAGAATGCCGACTCCGACGTCAGCTGGAGTCAATGGGCTGGAAGAGGAGGGAGCTGGCACCCTTCGGGCAGGTGGTGTGGGCTAAGCGGAAGCTGTATAGCGACAGGAGGAAGTACCTGTCGACCACCAGGACCCAGGTTCGAGTACTCTGCCCAGCAGTGACGATGTCGTTGACAACATCGGGATACTTGGTGCAGGAGATTTCCACCGGCAAGCTATTTCATACTGGAGACATCATCCATGTGAAGGGGGCCCCGGAGGAGCTCGAGTTGCCGGAGCGAGAGGCTGGATTCCTGCATGAGGTTGATGAACGAGAAGATTCAGAACCGCCGGAGAAGAGACCTAGAAGATCAAGGAAGAGCCTGAAGCTTCTACATGGTCCTGGAGAGGACGCTGAGGCAGTAGACTGGGGGGAGCTGCACCTTCGGGGAGCTCGACTACTTGCTGAAGAGCTGAATCTCTTGGAGGAGGACGATGGGGAGGTCGATAACGAGCGGTTTCTCAAGGCATTGACGGCGGAGATTGAGGATGAGCAGCTCGCCGCAGCCGAGAAGGCATTGGGGAACGGCCAGGAGTTCCTACAGACTCGCATCGTCGGGCTGGCGGAGGTTCGCAAGAACATGTCAGAGTGGAAACCATCAATGCTCGAGGAGTATGGGGCTCTGGTGACGGCGAAGGCCATCTTCAGCCGGAAGGCCGGCTCGGGCAGACACAAGTGTAGAGGGGTAGCCTGCGGGAACTTCGCGAAGGCGAAATCCGACGAGGACACCTTCGCCTCGGGAGCTGGAGGATGCGAAGTGAGGTTGCTCTTAAAGGCAGCGGCCCTCTACGACTGGACAGTGTCGACGGTGGATGTGAAGACCGCCTTCTTGAATGCCCCGGTCAACGAGTCAGCGGAGAGAGGGATTGTCATCGTGGAACCACCCCGCATCTTCAGAGAAGCTCAAGTTCTGCAGCAGCCTGGGGAACTGTGGTTGGTCCGCAAGGCCCTGTACGGGTTGGCTACATCTCCGAAGGACTGGTGCCTGCACCGTGATCGCTGCTTTCGGGAGTTTAGCTGGAACGAAGGGGGTGTGGACTATAAGGTGGTGAAGACGGCGCAGGATGACATGTGGGCAGTCCGTGGAAGAAGAGCCGGAGAAGCAGAATGGCAGATGGTGGGACTGTGCGCCACGTATGTCGACGACATCCTCATTGCTGGAAATATGGCGGTCGTCAAGGGCATCCACGAAAAGATCCGGGAGAGTTGGAAAATCGGGGAACCTTCATGGATCCAGGAGGGAGGAGAACCCGTCAGGTTCCTGGGCATGGAGATCGAGAAGAAAGGGAAGAACTTCATCCTGCACCAAAGGGCATACCTGGAGAACCTCTTCCTGGAGTATGAAGAAAGTGGACAGATCAAGACCCGGACGAGGAAGGCGCCCCGAATGCCGAAGATGTGGCCACTATGTGCCAGTGGTCAACGAAGAGACCGAGAGGAGTGGCAGCCATTGGCAGGCAGGTGAGGGCCTACCTACGAGACCAGAGACGAGGGCCTGATCATCCGAGGGCTGAGAGAACAGGAGTCAATCTCTGAGAAGCTGAAGGAAATCAAGGTGTATTCGGACGCTTCCTATGCATCGTCGGACCTCGAGAGTCTCACTGGGATTGTGGCCAGCATCGATGGAACTCCGATTATGTGGCAGACATCACGACAGGCCTTCATAACGCTGTCAACAGCCGAAGCCGAGCTCATGTCACTCCTCGAAAGTCTGGTGGTGGCAAGATCAATCGGCGCGCTGGTGGAGGCTGTCTTTGAGGTCAAGGCTGAGCTGAGCCTGAACTCGGACTCTACGGCTGCCATCGCGATAGCAGCGGGTACTACTTCGTCGTGGAGGACCAGACATCTGAGGATCAGAGCAGCCGGATTGACAGAGGCATTGAGAGCCAAGGAGGTGTCACTGAGCCATGTGTCAGGGAAGGAGTTGGTCGCTGACGGCGTGACCAAGCAGTTGACGGGTCAGCCGCTGAGGAACTTCAAGAAGTCCCTGGAGATGAACAGGGTCAGTGAGGATGCACCGATCGACATGAAGAAGATCGACTTTGGTGGAGGAACCCCTGACCCGAGACTGGCTCGAGGATTGGGAGTTCTGGTCGCTGCAGCCAGCCTTTTCACGTGTGCACCTCGACCGAAGGGGGAAGCAGCGAGTGGTGGATAGTGGTTCTCATCACGGCTGCAATCGCGATCATCGGGGACATTGTGTTCAGGATGGGCACCGCAGGAGCTCGGAAGTGGTTCGCCCCGAGGGAGGAGCTCAGAGTGAAGCTACTTTCAACAGAAGCAAAGATCCCTACCAGAGGATCGGAGCATGCTGCAGGGCTGGACCTGTACTCGATCATCGAAACGATGGTGCCTCCCGGAGACAGCGTCCTGGTGAAGACCGGAATTGCCTTGGAACTGCCACCAGGAAGCTATGGGAGGATAGCCCCTCGGTCATCCCTTGCAATCAGGGGAATTGAGACGGGTGCTGGAGTGGTAGACAGAGACTTCCGAGGGGAAATCAAGGTGCTCCTCAAGAATCACTCCGACGTTGACCTCCGGATCTACAAGGGAGACAGGGTTGCCCAGATCGTTGTGGAAAAGATCATGGAGCTGGACGTGAGGTGTGTGGAGGAGCTGAATGAAACCACACGAGGAAGTCGCATTGAGAGCTGTATCCGTGGGCGGAGCCTGACGACCCCTTGTACCAGAGACAAGAACTGGGAACTCGAACACCAGTGGACCGGATCTCCATCCGAACGCTTCAAGTCCCAGGTGAGAGAGGGAAGAACAAGATCACGGAGGAGACCAGTACGCAAACGCCTCCACGACGGGGACGGTTGATGGAAGTGGAGTCACCTCAACAGGGAGTTGAACGACATTCGGGACATCGACATGGCCACGATCCAGACCTATGTCACCGAGAGCCCTATGACTTTGAGAAGGAGAAGAGTCGAAGGGAAGAGGTGGGCATGAGACGGGCCGCATGGGACCGAATCATGGCGAAGAGAGGACCTCGCCCCGATTACGGAGGCACTTGGGTGGCGATGGATGGAACCGGAGTTCGGATCGTGGGAGTCGACCCTGGTCGAACCCGGGTGGAAACTACAGCAGGGACATTGGCGACTACCGGTGGGAGCACATCGACACCTGAGGAGAGAAGGGATAGACCAGCTGGAAGCGAGGAGGTGTTCGAGGAGGTGATCCAGCCTCGGCAGAGCACCAAGGCAGACCGAGAGGCTCAGCAAGATAAGCGAACCTTCGAGCTCCTCATGGCTGGGACTCCGGAAGGCTTGCAGCTGGGAGTCTGGGAGATCGAGGGGACCACCATGGAGGAGTTCCTCAGGCTTCCGCCCTTCCAGAAGGAGTTCCTCTCGGGTGGCATCAAGAATGAAGTGAATAGGCCGCCACATCAGAACACCCGAAAAGACACGTGGGTGGATGTGAAAACGAATGCCGAGGGGAAGAGGGTGGCCATCAGAGAACATCCCAACTCCAGAAGGCAGAAGTATGACTTCACGGGCGACCGCCTGTGGGAGGAGACATGGAGTCAGTGGAGACTGACAATCGCGTGGGCGGCAGTGGGGAAGAAGAAGATGGTCATCTGCGATCTGAGAGAAGGCTGTAGGTCGACACATTTACCCTACGGCTGGACGGGGTACACCCTTTTTGTGACCCCATGAGCCCACAAGAGAAGAGGTTTGAGCCTCTCCTCTTTCGGTGGCACCGATATCCTCCGTCGAAGCGACGGAGGGGGAGTGCCGGTGCGGAAAACGCACAAATCTAGAAGTGTACCAAGCTTGAACGTTGAAGGGATTGTGCACAAATCATGAAGTGTACATCTGAAGCCCCTTTTGAAGCGAGGAAAATGACCGACAGCTGGTCAGCACGCGGACACAACAGTTCCTTGTGCATCAGCAGCTTGAACCAAGCATGAGCGTTATTTGGTGGCTAGGCTCAAAACGGCGCGCAGTGTAGTCAAAGCGATATGCCAAAATGGAGGGCCACGAGGCCCACACTGAAGAAGACGCTTTTCGAAGGCTCTATGCTTTCCTGCTGTTCACGGCAGCTCTTTGGATTTCTGGCAAGCTGTTTGCAAGACTTGGGATGCCGGCCTTGATTGGTGAAATCACGGTGGGCATCATTGCTGGCCCTCATGTCAAGAACCTCGTTCCGGAAACGAATGCTCTAATCTTGCAGGGTGAGATTGCGCTAGTGCTTTGGCATGCTTTGGCATTCTTGAATTGTGACACCTGTTGGTCTTTGAGTAAATTTGAGTCCTCTCCGAATTGGGTTAGCACACATTCAACAGAATGGTCGTGCTGCCCATCTCATGCTATTTATCTAGCGGGCTGATGACCACTTGACCTCGCCACACTTGCTTTTCTTCCATCCTTCGTGCCTTCTGTTTTTGGGTGCTTAAGTCCCAGCCATATCCCTATGGCCCTATTGCATCCTATTGCACTGTTGCGGAATTTACTTGTAGCTGACTGTATCACCCCCATAGAATCGCACACATGATTCTGCTGCACCTCCGTGTCATGTCAGCTACAGGTTGTGCAGAAGGATGTGCATGCACGTTCAGATAGAATCGGGACATTTTACTGTTCTCCAGATTCAGTTGGAAGGCCTCTACTCTTGCGAGTGTTATTTATTTCCCATGCTTCACTTGGACAACGAAAGGGGGCAGCCATATGTTGAATATGCTGCAGGCTTGTGCGATAAGTTGATAGAGCGTTTGGCGGGGGAATTGAGGTGCTTTTGATGATAGAAGCGGGCCTGCATGTTGACATGGATGCATGGATGCACCTTTGCGCTGACTTTGAAGCGCATCGAAGTTCTGAGTCCTGATGTTTCAGCTTGTCGCCCAAGGAAATGATAAAAATCGTTGGTCTTCGTGCGCTGGCGGTTGGAGTTGTTGGCTCCTTTTTGCCCATGGGCTTAGGCCTGCTCACTTGTCCAAAATTACATGGTACAGAAGACGTTGCACAGATTGTAGGTATGGTGGTGGCAGGGTGCTTAGTTTCTTGATTGAGCTGAACTCTCCTGAGCTGTTTTTTCATTGTTGCATCCTGGCTGAGGCAGTTGCGGCACTGCAATTGGAGACCATGCAAGCTTTTTCCATTGGAGCCTCCTTTGCTACAATGCTCCTCAACTTGACTCAATGGAAGAAAGGTGGCATTGCCAAAGGCATGAGGTGAATCTTCATTGTATAAATGTCTGTGTATGCGATCAACTTCAAGCACATCCATCACCATGGCACTGTTGCTTAGATTTTGATTCGATGCGGCGGGGTTATGTTTGCGGTTGAGGTCAACAGGTATTGCCCTGAACGTGATGAAAGGAGGGGGCGTGCTCAACCAACCGAGCGGGCAGTTGCTGTTGGCTGCTGCAACTGTTAATGATGCTGAGAAGCAACGATTTGGCACCTTGTGTGATCGCGATGTTGGAACAGCAACGAAGACACATTACGATGCAAGGAACTGATCAACATCTCCTTGATCACTGAGATAGACGCCATTGTGGCCAATGGGCCATGGCATACATATGCTTCTAGGACTTTTTGGGGCAGTCTTGACGTACGTTCACTGGAAACCTGCTTCTTCTTCCTGACATACAATCAATCCTCTTTACTGTGGCTGCTCAGGTTGTTCCGATAGTGACGCTCGCCCGCACGTTTTGCTTTTGCCTGCGCATGGTTTCCTCCGTAGCCGCCTCCATTGAACGCTTTGCTCAGGGTGATGCTGGTGCTGGTGGTGTTCATGAGCTTCCTAGCAGTCAAAGTCGTCCCTTGCTTTTTGGACAAGGCCACTCAGTGACCCTGGGTACCCTGGGTGCTGAGCCCCAGAGTCAAAATCAAAGGCCAAGCAGCTGCAAGCCAAGTTTTTGACAGGTGGTGCTACCGCGAGTCGACAAGAAAAACCAAGAAAACATCGTGCTTGGAATGTTGCTGGTGCCTGCCTCAGAGCCGCAAGTGACATGTGCAAGAACAAGTTTTGAGGATCTGCACGGAAGATACTTTTGAACTTTTGAGTGAAGCATTGCAAGCAGTCTGGAATGATAGGTGATTTGTTCTTGAAGCGATGGCCTCCAACCTTTTAATAGCGATGACCTCCAACCTAATCTATTCTTGAAGAAGGCTCTTGAATGTTGTCAACAGATTTGTGCATGTTATTCCTGCAGGCAACGACTGTGGTGTACATGCCGGCGAAGCTTGACGGACAATGGACAGATGTATATGCATTATGTGCAACAGAGAAAAGTACAAAAATTGCTCGTAGAAGTGATGCGACCATATCACATCACATTATTCATTATTACTCTGTATTACTATCATTATCACAGACCAAGGTGCAAAATGACAGGTTCTTCAGCGTTGCTGGGAGCATTTCTGGCAGGGTTTTGCTTCTGCACTGTTCCTTGTTTGCTAGTGATTCGCCGAAGTTCCTTCGCTTTCATGTCGTGGCATTATGTGTCATGGTGTTTTGCAATCGTAATCAAGTCAAACAACTGGCCCTGCTGTTTAAGGACGAACACGTCCACCACGCGTGGAAGCGCCAGGTAAAGCGCGTCGCCACATTTTTGATGCGCTACTTTTTTGCTTGTAGCATCGGCTTTACTGTGCCTGTAGAAGACTTTGGAAATGTCGAAGTCTGGAAGCGGGCGTCGGTCTTGCTTTTGCCGCTTGGCAATTTCTGAAGCTCAGTGCAAAGAATACGAAAGGATGTACAGCTTTCACGATTGCTAGACTTTTGTGCTATCTATCTCCGTGAAGCTTTGCAAGTGGTCACCCTATAGGTGTGTGTTTGCAAAGCTTTGCATGGGTTTCTTTGCGATGCCGCTGACCTTCAACGACTTCTTGATCCTGGGGTTTGCCTGGGGCAGCTGGGGGGAGTTCTCTTTCATTCTGGCCTTGCGTGCTGTGAGGGGGAACCTCTTGAGCGGAAGCTTGGAGGAAGTGAAGGAGGCTTCGCCAGGGTGAGCTTGAGGCTTGGGGGCCTAGAAGGTGCCAGTTGTAAGATGTTAGCTACCCTACATCTCGCGGATCTGGAGCTCAAAGACATACAAAGACCCGGATCACCCAGCAAATCTCAGAAAGCACCGGAAAACATGTCCTCGATCTCAGGAGAGAGCTATAGTGCACTGGTTCTTGCTGCCTCTTGCCCTTCATGTGGCTGCGAATGACTCCGGGAAGTTTGTTGGGAAGTATCGCACTAAAAAGACTATGCAGATCATATCCCAAAAGGCAGTGGTACAAGAGACTTCATTGATTGGTCAGCCTTACCGCATCTTCGTGGATGCAAGTATATGAGCAACCGTCAAAACATGGCATGTAGAGCAGAAGATGTGAGCCGCTTTCAATCCTAGATAATTCGCAAAAACCAAGGGGAGCAGTGCGCCCCCAAAAGCGATGCCCTAACATTGTCCAAACTTATTTGTGTGACAGTCAGTAGTTTTTCTTTCAAGAGCTTCTTGATCTGAAAAGTAATTCCACATGCAATAGTCATATCCTTTGGGGCCAAAAAAATGGGGATTTCAAGCGACACCCCTAGCGATGCCCTTAGGTATTACTTGCCCACTTCAACATAGCTTGGTTTGCAACCACAGAAGATGTCGCGGAAACAGCTTGGTGAATGCTCTTAGCTGCTTCTAGTATCAGCCGAACTTTGCTGTTACGTTACCTTTGACTGTTGCTCGTGCTCATACATGCACTTGTTTGGTTGAAGCTTGGCTGTACTAACTATATACACGAAATCGATGCCTCCCTTCCAAGCTGAAGTCTAAAGTTGTCCAAAACAGGGAAGTGATGGCCCCCCAATCTATATGATGGCACAAGATTGAACAAGGAGCTTTGGCAGCCACGCCTAAAATCTTGACTATATAGATTGCTTCTTAAGATTCGAGCAATGCTGTACTCCCACAGCCAATTTTCTTGTCAATCTGAACGGACTCAGCCCAGGTTTTGATCTCAATCTTGATTTGCCCAACTGTCTTGCGCGTGGTCCTGACACGAAGGGAAATTGAAGCAAAACGACGCATTGAAGAAGCAAAGAGACTCGGACGCACCTTGAAGCCGAATGCCCAGCGCAATGAAGCGGTACTTTTATTCCTGATTGGATTTCCTATATGAAATGGGGTGTCTTGAGGCCACTACGTTGAGTTTTTCAAATGCTTTTTAATATGCTGCAAAAACTGGGGTTGGAGCCCGCATCTTGTAGCAAGACTCATTTTGTAGCGGCTAGTTTTCATGTGAGATATAGACGTTGGTAACCTACGTAGCATAATGTAGTGCAGATTCTGCCTATTAACTTGATTTTAACCTACTTCACCAAAATGTAGCGCCAATTTTTGCAGCCATTTTGGCCGCTCACAATATTTAAGGCCAAGCTTCTAGACGGGCATCCCTTGATTTGCCGGAGAAGAGATTCAAATGAAGATTCTTATGAAGAGAAACTTGTAAAGACGTTTCACCCTTCAAAAACGAACAACACGTGTTCAAACGGATGCTTCGTCTATGTTTTAAACGAACATAACTATGTTTAACTACAGAATGCCTGGGCTCCCTGGAGTGACGACAACATGCATGGACACAGTCTGTGTAGATTCCTGTGGTACCTTCCAACATGTTGTCCAAAAGAATACATGCAAGGCCAAACTTCTAATAACAATAATATTATAAGCCCTTGTTTGCAATGCGCACATTTTCTTCAAGATTGAAGAGGCCTCAGAACAGATCAGAACGCCTCAACTTGGTAGGTCGGGGCCACACCATTTTGTAGTCAAACACATTGCTAACATGAGGGTTGGGTCCTCACTATTCTGTAGTGCAACTTTCCTGTTCATTCAATGATTTTATGTACGTTGGAGTCAAGATGAGTCAAGCATTTTGCAGTCAAGCAGGGTCGGGTCCTTCCAAAACAGCAAATTTGTGGGGTCGGGTTCCTCGTTCTGTTGTACTACAGAATGGGGGTTCTATATAATTGGAAGGGTTTTGGATGTTTTGTTTGGCAGGTGAAGGTGTTTTGACACACTACCCGCTACCGTTTCAATAGCAGTGCCTCTTCACAAGCAAGGAGTGACACTGCCAAAATCGAGACTGGTGTACTTCACTCAGCCTGACACCCAGTTTGGTTTCCCACTGCTTGCAGGCATGCAGGGTTCAAAGCTTGGCAGCATTGTAGCTTTGGCTTTTGTTGGCTTTTATCATTTGCTGCCTGCCCTCTCTCAGATCAAAGTAGTTATGTTTCCCTAAAAATCTAGGAACCAAATGAATGAATAGTGCGAGTGTGAGCTATCCTGCATCCTAGGTCCTAGGTAGTAGCGTTCTTGTAGCTACTAGCTACTGTTTGCTTCTACTAGCTATCTAGCTACTGCCTCGGCCTACCCCCCGCCCCTGGACTCAAAAAAGACCTTTGCTCAACCGTTTCTTCTTAAGGTCTACTTCTGCGTGCAGACCCGTTCGCGTGCGCAATGGGGCCAGCAGGGTGCCTTGCTGAATGGACTTTTGGAGGCGGAGATCTTCAGACGGTTCTCTCTTCGATTGACACGCGTGCGGTGCCGCATGCACCGCGGGAAACACGCAGGTTGGATGCAAGGTCGTGGACTTCCGTTCCTTCCACCCTTTTCACGATGTTGGGACGCAACATATCATCAACGAGTTGTACCTGAAAGACATGGAGCTGGAGCTGGTGCCTGGTCAGGGTCTCCTACAAGTCCAGGTTTGGTGTTTTGTTTTCTATCTCTTTGTGTTAGCCCCCAATGTTCCACTTCCAAATATCACACTGCAATGACATCATGATACATCATGCGTTATTTTTGTTTTATATATGTTCAAAACTATATATATATCTATATTTTATTGTATCTCTCTCTATATATGCCGCGTATTTACGACGAAGGTGACGAGGTGACTCTGACAGAACATGGAAGCAATAAAAAGCGAATGTTGGTGTTCGCTGCAGATGTGACGTTCACAGAGGAGACAGGAAGTTAAGTTTCCCTAAAAACCTAGGAACAAGAAGCTACTAGGAACAGTTCTTCATTAATGCGAGCGTTCTTCAAGGAAGCTTCCACCCCCTCTCAGGCGGGGGGAGCTTCGAAGAAGCGTGAGCTATCTTGCGTCCATAATATGCAGTAGCGTCCTACTTAATGGCTACTATAGCTACCTCTTCCTCTTGGCGACCTCCCCCCCTTGGCCTTTGGCCTATTTAAAAAGTTAAAGAACACGGAATACAAAAAGATTGCATATGCCTTTGCTCACTTGCCCAATTCTGTCGCCCTAAGGAGCTCCAAATTGTCTCAGAGTCTGCCCAATGTATCATGTTTTCTCGTCAATCGTTCCATTTGGTGTCTCATTTCATCTTTGTGATTTTGTGGATTGTGGGATTTTCTCATGCCACTTCCGTTCAGTATTTTTGCTTTTGGTTGCGCCCCATTTCCCTGATTTGCATCCCCAACGCCAATCCCGATTTTTCCGCATTATGATGCATGTCACCATTTCTCAACTCATCTCAATCAGCTCACCAGAACTCACAGCCACTTCCATGTGTGGTTGGAGCCATGTTTGTCACCTGGAAACAGCCAGAGTCTTTCGGTGTGCTTGACCTGCTGGCCGTGAAGCATCTCCGGTTTCCTCATTTGCACCTGGCGACTTTAGTGGGGGATCCAGTTGGAGGTGCGGCGGGAGGGTTCCGCTCGAATTTCAACAGTGAAATCATGTGATCCATGACCTCACCTTATCCTTGCCCCCTTTCTTATTTAGCCAGCATCCTTTTGACAACTTCGTTTAGTAATTCATACAGTCTCCACGCATCACGCCACATCCTGGATCTCACCTGACCTCAATGTCAGGGCCTTTTTGTCAGGTGTGCGTCCGTGATCTCAGCCAATTTTACTCACCTTGTCCTATGAAGCTTTGTGCCCTCCTCTCATGCTGCCCCACTTTGTCCGATGCATCTCTTGTTACCTCAATTGACTTCAAAGCTCCTGCTGAGGGGTCGCTGTTGTGTACTCAGCACTCGCACAGTCAGCGCGATGATTTGCATTTATACTATCCACTAGTGATTTGGGACTTGTGAAGTGACTGTGCAAACTTCAAAGTTCCATCTCATGTGTTTCCAAGTGTGTCCACAACTCCCATCTCATCATGCATCTACCATCAAAATCAAGAACACCAGAGGGTAGCTGAGCCTATCTCTTTGAAATGATATATTCCAAAGGGGACACTGGTGAGAGGTGAATTGGGGGCACTCCCCCGCCCCCCCCCCAAAATGTTTTAAAGAGTATGACTCCTATCTCATGTGACTCATGTGCTTTTTGAATGGTTTCAGTCAACGTTTCGCAGACACATGTGCCAGGACTTGTGCAAGAAACAACTTATCTCATAATTGGCACAACTCCTAACTCACCTGGGGGTAGTATAGTCCATTCAAGTCTGCAAGGTATTGGCAGATCAACTGGCACCAGAAGACCAACTGCGGCTTGATCACCGAATCTTGCCATTATAGGGTGGACGCCATCGCCATTAGGTTGGAGGCCATCGCTACTAGGGTGGAGGCCATTGCTACTAGTTAGGGTAGAGGCCATCGCAACTAGGGTGGAGGCCATTGCTACTAGGGTGGAGGCCATCGCTACGAGGTTGGAGTTACATCAGTAACTGAGCCTTGGAGCTGATTGGATGCCTGAAGCGAACTTAAGGCACAAAGGAGATTCTGCGTGTAGTCCTGTCAGCTTTGCGCTCAGCAGATGCTTGCCGAAAGAAGATATGAGTGATTGTCCATGTCAACCCGATTTGGGGCTTGGAAGGGGTATTGAATCAAACTTGCGTCGGCCACACCAACATTGACATGATTGTTTTCCGGGGTGGCATGATCAAGCAGCCCATAAGAAAGGAAGGTGGTTTGAAAACGTTACATAAAGGCGGACAGGCTGAGAACACTTGTCTTCAGGAGGTGAAGATATCCAGTTTCTGGGCTGCAAGCTTGCTCACCTGTCACCTGCGTGCTTGCCCAGTCCTACGGGTTCCACGCTGGCCTACTTCTTGGCTCAAAGAGCTGCATGAAGGGTTTTTGAAGGTTGCACACACACTTAGGATAGGGTGTACTGAACTGAAAGCGGTGCCACACGCCGGCCTAGGGTTCCAATTCCTAAGGGAACAAGTACGAACCACGGGAACCTGGAGGACTTTAAGAGGAAAGAAGGCCCAAAGCGGAAGAAACCCATCGACGATCGCGGATCGAGCAGGCTGACGACGTTCGTTCATGTCTGCCGAGTGCATTAGCCCTTTACCAAAGGTTTAAAAATTGTGCAGGTACAAGTGGTTGATCAGACCACTCATCCGCCGAAATGCCATAGCTTCGTTGGACTGGATAGGCAAATCGGCTCCAGTCCCCCTGCTGCACAAGGAAAACAACTGTGAAGCTAAAACAATCTGAAAGGATCCCTATGACTCCAAGGGTTACACACACACACGCCTTCCCGAGGGGAGGCAAGATGACGTGTACTTCGCCCCCAAGTAGTGGTAAGGCCAGGAACCTCTAGTAGCGTCAAAGAAACACCTAACACCTAGTAGGAAGGCCAGCTAAGGTGCCGACAAGAGGGAGGGGTAGGGAGAGACGAGAAAAAGAAGAGAAAAGAAAGGAAGGTGTTCCCAGCTACGACGCGTGCGTCCAAGGACACACCAAAGGAAGAGAGGAGAAGGTTCCCAGCTATGACAAAAGCATCCAGGGACACCCAAGGAGGGAGGAAGGAGAGAGAGAAGGAAAGAAAGAGAGAGGGAGAGAAAGGGAGATGAGAGAAAAAGGAAAGGCAGGTGTTCCCAGCTACGAACAAGCGTCCAGGGACACACCAAAGAAAGAGAGGGGTGATCCTGAGTGTTGCATTCAGGAAAACCCCAGGAAGCAAAGAAAGAAAGGGGGAAGGGAAGGGGGAGAAGGGACTAAGCTCGCGACAGGTTCCAACGAACCTTGAGCAAACTTCGGTCGCTGCGACCACGTACGGCGTGCCCAGGGGCTGCCATCTTTGACCGCTACGGTCACGTAAAGGCATGAGCCAGCTTAGAATTCCAAAGATGGGACAAAATCATCGTACGTACGGCCTAGGCCACCTACACTCGCTGCGAGCTGCTCTGTATCCGGGCAGTGGATACGTTCGACGTACACCCGTTCGACGGGTCCACGGGAGGCACTCTGCGGGCTCATCCCGGGTTGGCACGAGGCCAAACACACTTAGGATAGGGTGTACTGAACTGAAAGCGGTGCCACACGCCGGCCTAGGGTTCCAATTCCTAAGGGAACAAGTACGAACCACGGGAACCTGGAGGACTTTAAGAGGAAAGAAGGCCCAAAGCGGAAGAAACCCATCGACGAGAGCGGATCGAGCAGGCTGACGACGTTCGTTCATGTCTGCCGAGTGCATTAGCCCTTTACCAAAGGTTTAAAAATTGTGCAGGTACAAGTGGTTGATCAGACCACACATCTGCCGAAATGCCATAGCTTCGTTGGACTGGATAGGCAAATCGGCTCCAGTCCCCCTGCTGCACAAGGAAAACAACTGTGAAGCTAAAACAATCCGAAAGGATCCCTATGATTCCAAGGGTTACACACACACACACACTTATGGATATGCGTACTGACTGACAGCGGTGCCACACGCCGGCCTAGGGTACCATTTCCTAAGGGTACAAGTAAGAACCATGGATCCTGGAGGTCTTCAAAAGGAAGGGTGGCCCAAAGCGCAAGCAACAAAGCGACGAAGTCGGAGCGAGAAGATGACGGCGGTACGTGCACATCTGCAGAACACACTAGCACTTGACGACACTTCTCGGCAAGTGTTAAAAATCAAGCAGGTACACAGAGCTGATCAGGCTCTGCTTCCCAGATGCAGCTTTGTTAGGCGCAGTCCCTTGCATCTGCTGCGCCCCCCCTGCTTAAAAACAAAACGAATTACAATTCAAAAGAATCCCTGTGACTACAAGGGGCACACACACACACGCCTCCCCGAGGGGAGGCGTAAAGCTAAGGTAAGGGCAAATGTGCACGTGTGCGCGCAGAAGAGACAAAAGAATGAGGACATGACAGGAGGACGAAACGGGACAAAAATGCCTGTGGTTGAAATGAAAGGGGGACCAAGTGCACAGGGACACCCGATGAAGCCCACCTCATTGTAAAAACCTGGGCGGCCTGAAACATGTGTTAAAATGTATGCAGAAGTGCACGTACACACTAAGGCCGGGACCAATGTGCGCGCAAACGAAGAAAAGGATGAGATGATCAGACATGAAGACAGGAGGACATGAAAGAAAAGAGGAAACAAAAGTGTGTGAAGGGGAAGGGATGAAAGGGGAACCAAATGGAGGGGACGAGAACCGATGAAACCAAACCTCATTAGAAGCACCTAGGGACCTGCCTCGTTTGAATGTAAGCGCTGTGTGTGTGCACCTGAGAGTGGGACAGGTTCCAATGAACCTTAAACTTGCTTTGACCGCTACGGTCACCTTGTGCCTTGTCAAAACTTAGTATTGCTCTTTGGAATTTTGGAATTTTTTTTGCTCTGTGGAAGGGTTGGTGCCATCTTCCTTGAGTGATACCATTCTAGGTGCAAAATCGAGAATTCAAAATAACTTATAAGCTTCCTACTCAAGGGTCTAAGAAAACAGCTGTGGCAAAGTCATTGTGCAAAGCGAGGCATACAACGCCAGCCAACTTCAAGGCATTTGACGGGACTTTGTGAGAATGTGACAATTGAAGGGCAACAGGGGAAATTTAATTTCCTGTGTCCAAAGAATGATTTTGCAGCACCCGCTCGACAAACAGGCAACCCCCACTCGAGAACACGTTTTCCAAAGTTTGTGTAGAACAGGAAGGCTGCAATAATCAGCCTGGTTGGAGGTTCCCATGCTTGGTTTGGAGCCGCTGGCTGGAGCAATCTTCAATTCAATTCAAGAGAAAATATGGTGCGCAGTGCAAGCCAGACTCCCAAGCTTCCCGTTAGTTAGAAAACTTAGAAGTTAAAATGTAATGTTTTTACAGGGTCTTTTTCCGGAAGCCTGAAACATTTAAAGCATTCAATGCACCAATGTAAAGAAAGCCAGACACCCAAAATTGAAGAAGTCTTGATCGCGCTCTTTTTTCATTCTGCGCGAGCTCACTGCATGCATCCTGGCCGATGCAGCCAGAGATGCAACAAAAAGCTTTGCGCCCATGCCAGAGTGCATGTATCTTGGCCGACGCAGCCAAAGATCACGCCAGCGGGTTCCAAACCTCGTCGTTTTCCTCACCCTCTTCCATCTCCACTTCCTGGTCGTCATCATCGACCTCCCCAGCTGAGGCTCCGGTTGCTTCTGTCTTTTTTGTTTGTTTTTTTGTGGGTGGCTCATCATCGCCGCCTACTGCAGGCTTCGGCTTGGCCCTAGGCTCAGGCTTCTTAGGTGGCTTTTCTGGCTTCGGTTTCGGCTTTGGCTTATTTGGTTGACCCTTGGCCTTGGATTTGGGTTCGGCTTTGGCTGCAGCAGTCACTTGCTCACCAACCGCAATATGCCCCCAGCCTGAAAAATTGTCCTTCTTGCACTTAGAGGACGACATTCTGTGGGCCCTGGCCGAATCAGCCAGAGGCCCACTTATTTTATCTTTCCTTGAGCAAAAAGCTGCGTCGGACGAGAATCGTGTATCTGAGCCTCCTACAGAGGTGACTATCAGACTACTCCTTACAAGCTTCAAGAACGTTCCCGAGGCTCGGTTGGAGCAGGATAAAAGCAGACTGTCCTAGAATTAGAAAACATGAATGGAATTTTTTCTAGCAGTCTGCTTTTTTCCTGCTCCTTAGGAGGTTCAAGAACGTTCCCGAGGCTCGGTTGGAGCAGGCTAAAAGACCTCTCCTTACAAGCCTGGCGCGCCATTTTTTCCCTTTCCCAAACTTCCTGTCTTAGCCGAAGCAGCCAATGACAGGCTCCTGGTCTCTCCTTGGCAGCTGGCCGAAGCTCCCAGTCAGCCTTGGCTTACTGCGCGTCCTCGGCAAGGACTTCAAGAGCAAAGTTAGGGAACCATTTGCTCACTCCACTCCAAGACAGTGTCAAAAAAGAACCTGGCATGTCTTCAAGCACTCGGACACACGCCAAAGCTGCCTTGAAATCATTCTTAGTGAATTGAGTCAACGGGTCTCTCAAATAGCTCGGCCCACGCGGAGGCAGGCCTGTGACGACGCGAAGCGTAGGGTATTGATGCGGACAAGTATATTTGATTGTGGTGCAAACATCCAGCACATGAACCAAACTTCCGTCTAGCAGGGCTGTTGCTGAATCAGGTAAATGCTGCCATGCCCACAGTAGCGCGTTCCTCAAGCACTCAGCTTCGTCCAGGGCATCGTCCTCCCCAAAGTGGAGGATCAGCAAACGGCGGGTATCTGCAGTAAAGCGACAAAAGGACTTCAACATTTCTGGATCAGGACCAGGGGGAGCCATTGCCATAGAAAGGGCCAGCTTTGGGCCATTTGCAGCAGCCAGCTTGAGAATCTTCAGGGTTCAGCAGAAACTCCTGCCAACCGCGCCAATTTCAATGTGGCCTTCGCCTCCACATTGCTCATGGCAAAGGATTTGGCCGAAGCAGCCAATGACCTCTGCAGAAAAGCACCTCACCGAAGCAGCCAAAGTACTCAGCAACCCCCACTTGGGAAGGCAAACCCATTTAGAGCCACATGGCGGCGTCAAGATTTGGAAATAAAATTTTCCAAGGCCCAAATATCTTTTCTTCCCTTCCTCGAGAAAACAGTATTGAAAAATCGAGACAATATTCTAGGAGCGTCAATGAAGGTGAAAAGTTAAGGTTGACATGACTACAAGTTTACCTGCTAAGAAGGGACTGTCCTAGCTAGAGCTGAACCTAGTCATGATTTACACAGTCAGACGCGACCCTACAAATCGAGAAGTGTAAATAACTTTTGAGGTGGTAGCAAAACCTTCAAACAGACAAACTTCAACCCCAATTGAAAAAGCAAAAAAAAAATTCTAAAATTCCAAAGAGCAATACTAAGAAAATGGCTGGCTGCTTTGACCGCTGCGGTCACGTAAAGGCATGAGCCAGCTTGGAATGCCAAAGATGAGACAAAAATCTGAGTTCTTTCGGCCTAGGCCACCTGCTGTCCGCCCGTCCCCAAAGCCGGGGAACATGGACAGACACCCGTTCGACGGGTCCACGGGAGGCACTCTACGGGCTCATCCCAGACTCTCACTGGGAGAGACACACTTATGGATATGCGTACTGACTGACAGCGGTGCCACACGCCATTTCCTAAGGGTACAAGTAAGAACCACGGATCCTGGAGGTCTTCAAAAGGAAGGGTGGCCCAAAGCGCAAGCAACAAAGCGACGAAGTCGGAGCGACAAGATGACGGCGGTACGTGCACATCTGCAGAACACACTAGCACTTGACGACACTTCTCGGCAAGTGTTAAAAATCAAGCAATTACACAGAGCTGATCAGGCTCTGCTTCCCAGATGCAAGGTAGCTTTGTTAGGCGCAGTCCCTTGCATCTGCTGCGCCCCCCTGCTTAAAACAAAACGAATTACAATTCAAAATCCCTGTGACTACAAGGGGCACACACTTATGGATATGCGTACGGAACTGAAAGCGGCGCCACACGCCGGCCCAGGGTTCCATTTCCTAAGAGTACCAGTAGGAAGCCATCGAATCCTGGAGGTCTTAAAAGGAAAGGAGGCCCAAAGCACAAGGTCGAGGTCGGCGATCAGGTCGAAGTGACGGCGTTCCGTGCGTGACTGCCGCAAACTTTAAAAATTGTTGCAGGTACGTTCCCGAGGCGTCCCTCAGGAATAACGATGGAAGGGTCTTCGTTGGGCAATGCCTTCCAAAGTGTTCATTGCCCCCCTGCTAAGCACAAAAACAATTCAAACGAATCCCTGTGACTACAAGGGGCACACACACACACACGCCTCCCCGAGGGGAGGCGTAAAGCTAAGGTGAGGGCCAATGTGCACGTGCGCGCGCACAAGACAAAAGAATGAAGACATGACAGGAGGACGAGACGGGGCAAAGGTGCGTGTGGTTGAAATGAAAGGGGAACCAAGTGCACAGGGACACCCGATGAAGCCCACCTCATTGTAAAGACCTGGGCGACCTAAAACCTGTGTTTAAAGGTATGTAGAGGTGCACGTACACACTAAGGCCGGGACCAATGTGCACGCAGACGAAGAAAAGGATGAGATGAACAGACATGAAGACAGGAGGACATGAAAGAAAAGAGGAAACAAAAGTATGTGAAGGGGAAGGGGTGAAAGGGGAACCAACTGGAGGGGACGAGAACCGATGAAACCAAACCTCATTAGAAGCACCTAGGGACCTGCCTCGTTTGAGTGTGAGCGCTGTGTGTGCACCTGAGGTTGAGACAGGTTCCAATGAACCTTGAACAAACTTCGGCCACTGCGGCCACGTACGCCGTGCCAATATGGCTGGCTGCTTTGACCGCTGCGGTCACGTAAAGGCATGAGCCAGCTTGGAATGCCAAAGATGAGACAATAATCTGAATTCTCTCGGCCTAGGCCACCTACGCCCGCTCTGGGCACTTACATCTCCGGGCAGGGGAGGTAACGACAAACCCCCGTTCGACGGGTCTACGGAGGCACTCTGCGGGCTCATCCCGAGTTGGCGCGAGGCCAAACACACTTATGGATATGCATACGGAACTGAAAGCGGTGCCACACGCCGGCCTAGGGTTCCATTTCCTAAGAGTACCAGTAGAAAGCCATCGAATCCTGGAGGTCTTAAAAGGAAAGGAGGCCCAAAGCACAAGGTCGAGGTCGGCGATCAGGTCGAAGTGACGGCGTTCCGTGCGTGACTGCCGCAAACTTTAAAAATTGTTGCAGGTACGTTCCCGAGGCGTCCCTCAGGAATATCACAACACGATGGAAGGGTCTTCGTTGGGCAATTGCCTTCCAAAGTGTTCATTGCCCCCCTGCTAAACAATTCAAACGAATCCCTGTGACTACAAGGGGCACGCACACACACACACGTGTGCACGCACTTGCTCGAATCGCAAATGCCTTCGGGCATCTTTGGACACGTTCCCACATGCCGAAAAGCCGCTTTCCCCACCAGACCCTCACTGGACGACCATGGGCGCAACCCTGAGCATCAAACTATGCGAGCGAGGGCAGGAAAGCGTGGAGCTACCCGCTCTGTCGCACGCACATACACACTCAGTTCAATGCTCGCAAGAGCTGTATCAGTTTGGACATCCCGAGAGCTAGTTACTGATTACAGTAGACCTTGACTCGCAGGAAACAGCAAGGTGAAGGGTCAGCTCACTTGGTTTGTTTGCAACAAACGCATTACAGTAGCCCTTTACCGCATTAGCCCTTTAAAGAATGAGGGTAACAGCGTAGTCAACAGTTCAACCAGAAGGAAGATTGAACAGTTGGACATCCAAGCTGTGCACGCCGGCGCCCATGGACTGTCCTCAATGCGTTCAAGGTGACATCCCAGCTGCGCAGACGCCCAGGGACTGTCACTGCAGTGCCCAGCTACGGTCCCCACTGAAGGGGCTTGCCGTCCAGGGCCACTGCTGCAGGTACGTTTACACACCTGCCACCGCCGGTCTTCATTGGCCACAGTGGCAGTGGCAGGTCTGTTGAAGACCGGCGGTGGCAGGTCTGTGGCCACACATAATGCCCGCGTCCTCCTTTTCTGCATTGATTAAACGAGCGTAAAAGTCAACCTAACAAGCCTGAAGGAAAGACCAAACAAACGAAAAAGGCAAGGAAAGAAAGGGGGTGCAGGGGTGTGTGTGTGTGGGGTGGGGTGGGGGTGGCCGGCTCGGGCCCGAGCCGGCGCTCCCTTGACTAAACAAAAAACCATCAGTTACACCTAAAAACCCTCTAGAAAGGAAGAAAGACTTAGAAAGCGAAGAGAAGCCGAAGGAAGGACAGCAAGACAGCACTGAATATTTAGCCGCATGTCATGTGATTACATTAGCCATTCGCCGCATGTCATGACATTCTTTGAAAGCTTTCAGCAGCCCTGCGGCAATCAATCAGCAATCTCAAAAAAGGACGACTGGTTTGTAAGGATCAAGCAGCTCTGAACATCCGGTGGAGAATTCCCCTTGAGGGTCTATGCTCAACGCGCCCCGAAGGGATCACACAGCAGTGGGACAGGAGTTGACACACACACACAAAAAACACACAAATTCTCCATCACAAAGCAGCTGTCAAGGATGGCAGCCCGGAGAGGGCACTCAAGAGCTGATTGAGGAGGTTCACTATGGTTCTGCCACTGAAGATGTGCCAGTGGGGAGCTTCCGCCACTTGTCCAGCTGGATGAGTTTCGTTTGCCCTTGAGCTGCTAACCTGGCGACTTTTGATTCGAAATGTTGGAACATTGAATGTTGACGGCTATATGATATGTTGTCGTACATTCCAGTCCACTTTGCTTCACCTCATTGCTCCAGCCTGCAGCTTGGCACTTTTTGCATGACATCTTGGTGCTAGATTGTTCTCTTTCAAGGACGGACGGCGAGTCCTTCGGAGCAGATTGCTGCCCAGCATGCGCACTTAGAAATGCAGCAGGCAATGACGACCAGGCCCAATTTACAGGTCTAGATTCTCGATTCTTGGTGCGTTCGGTGCCGTCTTGAGTTTTGCACATGTTCTCCGTCCAGACTTGAAAGAGATATCACAGGATCACCTGATTTGCTGACCAGGCATGCCCAAGCTGGCTTTGATATGTCAACCAGCTTGGATGAGTACTGCTTCCCAGGCATGGCCCTTGTGACTGATTGGCGAGGCTCTCTAGTAGTACAGTTGCTGTAGTTTGATGCTAGGAACGCCAAGAGCACACCATGAACTCGATGGATATGTTCACACGGATCCTCATGATGCTTTTGATTTGTCGCAGCTCAGATGCACCGTCAGCCCTGCTAGTTCACCAGACCGAGAAGGGATTTGCCTTCTCGGTGGCGCCAAGAAACGCCTAGGAATGTGAAGGGGTCATCGCGGAGTGTCAGCTCGGAGGAGCTGAACAGCTGTGACAGCACCTTGAATGGAAAAAGCTGTGGCAACACATGTTGCAGAAAAGATACGTTTCCAGGTGTTTTTCCATATGCTTAGTCCAGCATTGCACTGGTGATTTTCAGGTTCTTCTGAATGCCTTGACGCATGAATCAATGAATGCACAGAACAGATATACATTTGATCCTAGTCAGATCTCCCTGTGACAGCCTTGTACAGCTACGGCCTGCACAGCTAATTCGTTCCCAAAGCCGGTGACGACTAATCTTCATTTGCAACACCTGGAAGCCGTTTCCCACAGCTTTGCGCAAGCTGGATGGACATGTGGTGGAGGTGCTCAGACATGCAGCCGCCCACACGTGTTTGTGGTGCTGCCCGATCTGAGTTGCCGTTTGCTTCATGCCAAAAAAACAACATGCCCACTGCCATGAAAAAAGATAGCAGGGCTGCACTCATAAATTGCCCGGCAACTTTGCAGTGTAGGAAGACACGAACGCCGTGCGTTTCTTCAAGCTTGATCAAGGGCAAGCAACTGACCATAGCCCTAGTGACCTGAATTCTGTCTAAACCCCAAGCAGGTCAAACAGATGTGTCCAAGGCCCCAATGGACGGCGCAAGGTGTGCACATGTTTGCACCTCATTCTGTGCTGAGTTGCCAGACTATGAGGGCTTGACAATGACTGAGCCATGGCCAAGCCGAGTGAGCTTTGCCCGACTGGCGCTGCGGCCTTGTTCACCCTTGCTGTCAGATGCAGGCAGTTTGCAGCGGGTTCGCTCCCAGGGCGTTTTGGGGAGCAGAGCCAGCAGAGCTTTCTTCGCGGAGAAGCTGAGAACTCCAGCGGCCGGCGTTCAGTCAGAGAATCATCGTGCCCAAAGCCGTGCTGCTGAGCTTGAGCGCTTCTTTGGATCAACCTGGTCGAATCAAACAGAGGTTGACATGCTCAAATCAAATAGCAGCCCCAGCTTTCCGGAGTTTGCAGACTTTGAGAGCGGCGGGCTGAAGGAGCAATTTGACCAGGCCACTTGCTTCTCATTTAATGTCTTGCATGTTCTATCGCAGAAACTGGATGTGCCAAGTGTTTAAGCCTTGTAAGTATGATGTTGTTTTTTCTTTTTGGCCGTTTCATGCTTTTTCACACCAGCTTGCCGGAGGAAGTTGCGAGCATGACCACCAAGCTTGAGAATCTTGCAAAGCATGCGCGCCTAGAGCACCTGTCGTGGGACCCAGGTGAAGAAAAGTCTAAAGGTGAAGAACGGCAACGTCAAGAAGCGAGACGATTACGACAACGTGAGAGAATGTCCCGAGATCCACACAGAAAATTAGCACAGAAAGTGGAAGATCGACGACGGCTTGGCTGGGAGAACTGGAACTCTCAGTCAATTCCAATCCAGGAAATACAAGTTGGGTGGTCTGGCACAAGGAAGGTGGGAGTGGTGGATGTGATGGGGCTCAAGGCCCGCAGCACACTGTCAGGAAACCTCACTATAGATGACTTGCTTCAGCGCCGGCGACGACAAGAGAAGCCTCGGCCGAACAGCGTGGCTTGGTTGAGTCAAGTGCATTCCAGTACATTTCCTGCTTGAGCAGGGGTTGATGGTTCAATGGTACAGTGACCCAAAGCAGGGCGATACTGGTTTGAGCAAGTTCTGCTTGACTGACTTGCTTGACTTGCGTCTCGCTTCACATATAGTACCGGACACGCAGATAGAATATGAACCAAATCCAAAAAGCTATTTGGTCCATATTCTAAGTGCAAGCAAAGTGGAGTTGCAGTTACACACTTAGAATACTGTATATGTACGATGTACAATCAGCATGACTGAAGCAGCATTTATGAAGTACAGTTTTCACATAGAATGTGTGCTAATTAAGAATTCCTGGTGACCAATCGCTATACATCTCATTAAGATTCATTAAGACAATATAGTAATATATAGTATATATATATGTATTGTGGGTTGATAATTCGGGATTGGGGGAACAGAGTGCTGGATTTGGGGGGAAAGTGATTGCCTATCATTCGCATGATGCAAACACAATGAAAACCTTGCAGGTAGAATATTGTCTTAGGCAACTCATTGCGTTCCTATTTTGTATTACATGTTCAAATCTTATCAACCAGTTAGCTGGTCATGTTGACCTTATGTGTTGGATTGGTTTTAAGTGACCGTGTATACAGAAGCTATATATATATACACATATATTTAAGCCAGCATTGCTGGCTTTAATATGGTTTGCTATGTTTAATTTAACAACCCAAGTATTCTATATGCAAAAAGTCTATCTGCACACTTCAAAAATATTCTTTTGGTACTTGGAACATATTCTATGTGCGTACCAAATAATTTTTCATATTCTCTCGCGTCCTCATATACAACTTATACAACATCTATAATTGGAGTTGTGAGCTGCTGCAAAGTTTGTCAGACTTTGTCTATATGTCCTTGTTTGAACATTAGCTTCAAGTTCTCGCAAGTTGCCCCCACAGTTTGATGGCCTCAAGCCTCCATGGCTCGTGGGCGTGGGCGTCGCTCTGGTGAAGGCCGCGGCGGCCGCAAGCATCTTCACCCGGAGGTTTCAGCCACACCGGATGACACTTTGTTGAGTCAATGTTGATAGGCAGTTTAAGCAAACGATAGCATAAACACAGGAGTGATTGTCTTGACAGATCTGGGTTTTATATACCGTAGATTTTTTTATGATGTCTTATGTTGTCTTCTTAGCCCATTCAAACATCTCTGCATATCTTTGCGGTGTTTGTTTGTACTAGCATCACTGCCGTGAGGCATTCTGTGCTGTACTAGATGTATCACACTGTTTCCCCCTCGGCCTCCCCTCGGACCCTCGGAGTAAGGAGTACTACGAGCAGAGTGAAGCGGAGAGGTACCATCGAGTGCCAAAGGCCGCCCGTATCCAAGCTGAACTGACTTACTCTGCCGTGGCACTCGGTGGTCTTTTACCGCGAAGGCCCGGCAGCCTCGTCCTCGACTTGGGTGCGGGAGGTGGTCTGAGCACTTTGACATTCCAGGCCTTGGCACACGGCAGTGGCTCACCGGTGCCATACATCCTGGCTTTTGATAGCAGTGCGCACATGCTGGCAACGACCACCGAAGAATCTTCATTGCTGGGAATTCGACTTCCTGCAGTCAAAGACAGGGCAATTTCACAAGTTGATACTGAGTCGGTTTTACTTGATGCTTCCGCTTCAGAGAAAGTGGATCTCAGCTCTGGCCTTCCTTGGCTTTCAAGGCGAGACCGGGTCCTCGCTGACATGTCGCAGCCGCTGCCCTTGCGCAGCGGGATTGCTGACGCTATTTTGTCGGTGAGCGCAGTTCAATGGCTAGTTGAACCACGCCAGTCAGGCCAGGAATCACAAGCATCACAAGCCAAACTTCAGACACTATTTTCGTCGCTGAGACAAGTCGCTGTTGAACATGGAAAGCTGGCAATGCAGTTCTATCCGCCCAAGGGAGACCATGACTTTGGTGCCAGAGCTTTGCGCAATGCTGCTAGGAAGCAACTCTGGTCACAAGCAGACATTGTAATGGACTTCCCCCATCATCCATCCTCAGTCGCCAAGAAATGGTTCCTGATTGCAGATGCAAGAGATGCCCCCAGTCCAATCAGAAAGGCAGAAGGGTGGTGTGCTTTGTGCTGGCCAGTTGTAGTTGGCAGGTGTGCCCTACAAGGCACCTGTGCAGCTGTCCAGCAGGATCGAGCAAAGCAGCAGCATTTGGAGGTCGCCTCGCGCTTGGCTCGTTGTGGGCGACGCTTGCGCCCTCCTCTTGATGATCAACAGATGAAAATCCAGCAACACGTGCGGCAGCAGCTCCATCCTTTGCAAATTGAGCTGGCAAAGAGCCTGGACCAGGCTGTGCAAACAAAGATTGAGGATTCAGCAAGTGAAGTAGCTGAGCCCAACACGTCAAGCGAGACGCAGTGCGAGATGCAGGGCTGCAAACGTCCGCGACATGACGGTAGTGAAACCAAGACTGAGCTTCGGAGCATTGTTTCCTCGTGCCTTCCTGAGTTGATCGGAGTTTTGCATACACCTCCCAGTGAAGAGTGGCTGCGACCCCCACCTCCATTCGATCCGCTGGGTGCTGGAATTTCAGAGCTTTGAGGCAAACAATAGACATAATTACTGTATGTCTCTGAAGGTTAACATCATCCTCCGCAACTGAAGCAGCAGGTGACCGCCCCGACGGGCGACTTGTACTGCAAATCTGCTTGCCCATGGAGTCACGAAGCATTGTGCTAGACCCAATCCTGGCCACAAGACACCTTGGAATCAAACAAGGCAAGTCCAGGGGACTGCTGGCTGGAGTCAAGGTCCGCACGAGAACAGAAGATATGTATCCAGCGATTGCCGCAGATGGTTGTGCCAAAGTGAGCGGCCTTTTCACTTGCTGTCCATACATGATCATAAATCCACCCACAAAGATTGTCCCGTTGCGCAGTTCAAAAAGGAGCTGAGTATCACCATGTCGATTGCAGAGCAGTGTGGGGATCCACAAGGTTTTACAAGTCATCAAACAAATGCAAACACAATTTTAATTGCAAACAACTTTGTTGCTGCCGAGCACTCGCGACCGAAGACCGAGACAAACATCATTTTTCATGTTGTTGTTCTGTTTCATAGCGTCCTTGCTAGTAGTAGCTTCTTGTTCCTAGTAGTAATGCCAGGAGCTACTAGTAGCGTCCTTGCTCCTAGTAGCGATGCCTCCTTGCTCCTAGTAGCGATGCCCTTTGTTGAGTCTCGAAGTTTGAAGAGTTTTTGCCGGCAAATGTCGATGCCCCATCAGTCCTTGCCAAGGCTGCATGGCAAGCCTGAGTTGATCCACTCATTCGGAACTGAGTCGGAAGAGTACCTTGTCGGAACTGAGTCGAAACTGAGTCGGAACTCATTTTGCTGACGAATTCGTGAGTTGCATCCGAATGTCATATAGAGATGTCTGCAGAAAGCTTTTGCAAGACGTGTAAGGCAACTCCTTAGGCTGCCATGAGTAGTGCCATAGTAATTATTAGACTTTCATTGCGAAAACAATTCTTTGGATTCCATGCTTTCGCAGGCCAAGGTTTGCAACATTGGGCTGGAAAGCGAAGCGTTTGTTTGCGTTCAGGCATGTGGAGTAATATGAGTCTACAGTCTACAGTCTACTATCTATTAATCTATTCTACTGTTTGGCCTTTGTCATGGCTGGCTATCAGCTCAATCCCACCGGAATAGCCGGAATCAGCTCAATCCGACTGGAATAGTCGGACAGTTATTCCCATTTTATCTCTGTTAGCTGCCATCGATTCGATGGATCCTTGCTGGCCCGCTGCTTGTGCTGGGGCAACTGAATGCGTCTGGACGAAAGAGGAAGGTTCTGCCCAGAGTATGATCATCACGAGCTCCAATTTTTGTACTTTTAAGGCGCGTTCTGCTCATTGTTTGCGAACACATTTGATTCATATGCAGAGGATAGAGCAATATATACGGCACAGGTTGTGGTGTCATTATATAAAAAATATATGTTTGGAACATGCATTGGACTTTTAAAATAGATGCATTTGACTTTGCTCGCAGTCCTTTTGGCCCCAGCTGAACAATCTCTTTGCCTCCGCACCTGAGCCAGGCCACCTTAGCACATGCGGCGGCATGTTTTGTGTGTTCTCTTCCTTGTGCCAGGCTATGCAAGTGTGTTCTACTATATAACTGTATGGTAACTGCACAGTCATTTTAGTAGGCAATGACTACTGGTGGAGAGTGTCGCATAGTCACGTAGTATCACACAGTTGCATACATCCAAGTCCTTCTGTGCGAAATCAGAGGCTCAAGGCGCTCTGTGAGCAAATCGTTTCTTAGGACTCGGGAGTTGGGTCTTTGCTCAGCAAAGATCGCCGATGCTTTTGAATTCTACTCTTCGTTTGGGCTACCTTGAGGGCAGCAAGCTGAATGATGATCCCAAGCTCCAATCCACGTTGAAGTTGGAAGAAAGAAGGCCGAGCACACGGGGTAGCACCAGCAACAAGAGTCCAGCGCAAACAAGGCGTAGAAACTCAAAGGAACGATCTTTGTCTCAGGATCCTTCACGACGGAGGCTTGAGGATCGAGATCGCCCTTCCCTCTCCAGGGAAGGCTCGAAGTCCAAAGAAAACTGGCAATCGCTAGAGTGGACTCATGTGCCACAGAAGGAGGTCCAGAGAGATGGTCCTGTAGTGTATTCAGTCAGCACTCCGGCTGCCACTGGCCCCAGAATCCATCAACCTCATTTGGTTCGCACGACACGGATTGAACCAAACGCAGCGTATTCCAAGAAGCGCCCACCAATCCCTCCAAAAAAGGAGCAGAGAGAGCAGATCACGGTGACCGAAAAGGATTTGCTTAGATGTGGCAGTGACCTCAAGAAACTACGAGAATGCCAAATCATCCAACAGGAGATGCCTGAACGAACCTTGCCAGCACCTTTGCCACCTCCACCTCCCTTGGACCTCTCCTTCAAGAGCAAGTTTGCACAAGACTGCCGTGAAGGTGCAGACACCCGCGACCCTTGGAAGGACTTGAAACATCCAGATGAGGATCGCGTGCTGACAGTGGAAGATTTAGTGCTCAACCAGGCGGGCTGGGCAACGCGAAAGCTGCATCAGAACAATTTGTGAACTGTGAACTTCCCCTGACTGATCTGACTGACTGCGTAAGTATGGAATGCAAATTTCTGGATCAGTGGAGAATGGGTTTGACCCATTTCGATTCCCTCATTTCCCTCCTGCCGATTTCCACCAGAAGAGACAAGACCAACTGTTCAACTCTCCCAAGCCCGTTTTGGAACCGAAGCTGGGAGATATCCTTTGGATGCACTTGTTACTAGTAATGCGCTTGTTACTAGTCTAGTCGTAATGCACTTGTGACTAGTAGTAATGCACCTGTTGTTGCAAGTAGTAAGCTCTTTTGAGTGAAGCCCTTTGAGTAATGCTCTTGCTGCTAGTAATAGTAGCCTCTTGTTACTAGTAATGCATGCACTTGCTACTAGTAGTGTGATGCACTTGTTACTGTGAAGATGCAAATTCACGCGGCACATGCGTCTCTCGCTTGCTCGGACGGGAGCTTATGCATGTTTGCTTGAAGGCTTGCTTTGGCTCACTCTGTAGATTGTAGATCTTGCCTACTGTATTGCACATGCACACACACACACATGTACATTAAATACCTAACCCCCCCAAAGAAGAACAGGGAACACAAGAAGACTCTACCAGGTACTACCAATCTTATGTTGCTATTCAGGTCTATATCAAGGCTTTGCTGCCTCGGAAAGTTGAAGTCGATGACTCAAGCTCACCTGAGCATGGACGTGGACGCAAGACAACGAAGCTGCGCAGAAGCTGGAGTGCTTCAACGCGTGCTACTGGGTTGCAGGTGAGTTCCTTCCGTGTGACATGGGACTACCAGACGCCAAGTCACATTACACGACCAGCTTCCTAGGCAAGTTCTGCTGACCTGGCACGGCGGACCTATGCAGATGGAGAAGGGCAGCAGCTTGACACGGAATTATGTATATATATTTCCAAGGTTTGAGGACGTTGACACCGTGGCAGTCGTAGATTTCGACCAAGCGAAGGAAGCAGAATTGGAATATATTTGAATTCTGTAGCAGAGAGAAGTTCAAACACAGCATACGACAACTATATATATAGGAGGCCAGGAGGCCATGTCATGACAGACAGCCGAGATTGTTCTAAATGTATCCAAATGTTCTGGCTACATGGGGTGTTTTGGCGCAGACACCTTTTCTTAGATTGCTACGGAACAAAGCCAACTGCTGTTTGAGGAGAAAATGGTACACGAAGCGAGCGTCCAGCCTTGGACGTGCTGAATCCTTTGAAGATGAAGTCACAAGGTGATGCAAATGCAGTGCGCATTTCGTCGTGTTGCGCTGGCGCTGACATGTGGATGTGTTCGGTTCTTTTTTGTTGTGATGCGCTTGTGATTCTGTCAAACTTTGCCAATTAGACTAGATGTCAAGATGCTAGGCATTGTCGTACAGATCGCAAATAACATGACGACAGGACGTCCAGCGCCATTCAGCCAATCTCGACTGACACACCTCGCTCTGGCAGAGAAGATGCTGCTTGGCCAACGTCATACTTACCAGCGTGTACAGTGCAAAGGGAACCCGTGTCGTTTGGTCCGCAAGTGCACTTCTCGAAGCAAGTCAAGCAAGTCACATGCCAAGCCGTAAGTCTTTGTATTTCAATGTGGCAGTTGGAGGGCACTTCGATGACGCTAGGAACGTCGTAATATGTCGTAATCATGGGTGCCTCCGTAATATAGTGTTCTGGGATGTTCTGGGTATGTCTGTGGGGTTTATAAATATTGCGGCAGGACCAGAAGCCGGGCACATTGTTTAAAATACGAGAAAGAGGGTGGACATTGTCTTTATATTATGTTCATTGTGGGGCCAAAGGAGCCTGAGGAGATTGGTTGCTCAGGGTGTTTCGCCATTATACTTTTCTGTGGGGAAAGCGTGTCCTCGCACAACAAACTTGCACAATGCTGCACTTGTGATTCAGGTGTGTTCATGGTTATAGAATGTTATAGAAGTTCCCGCAATGATGTAGCGGTGTTCACCGGTCACGCAATCCAGAGTCTTGTGTCTCCTCATGGTGGAGACCTGGAATGTTTACAGCGAGGCTGAGCATCGCTGGGCATTGAAGCATAGGGTAAGTGAAATGCGCTCGAAGGATCTCACAGGGAGGTGGCCGAAGAAAGCAACACAAGATTCACATCGTAAAGCCGCTCTGAAACCGCCTGCATTGGCTCTAGCTGGCCCAGGAGACCCCTGAAGCGAAGCGAGCTGCAAGGGCATTCCTCAAAGGTGCCCACAAGCGAGGAGAAATTCGATCAGCAGTCGCCTCAGAGAGCTTTTACCAGAGGGCTACTTTTTGTGGTTAAAATCAGGAAAGGTAACTTGACTGAACAAATTTTAATGACCCGGCCTCATCCAGTTGCTCATTCATAGTATTCTATAATTGGTTTGCTTCAGGTGTGGATGTCGATCGATCAAGCTACTGGCGTGACTTGGAATTGTCAACCAAGTGGTTCGCCACAATTTGCCTCCGTGCTCCAGAAATGAGTCTCGTCTCGGCTAACTGGTTCCAAGGAAGTGCAGCTGTACCAGAGGGAAGCTGGTTCTCGATTAGAAGCGGCCTTCCGATCTGGGCGAAGCAGCGTGCCACTGGCTGGTCTCCAACCGGAGCTTGATGGGGCCATCGTCGCTCGTCTATGGAAGAGTGTAAGGGGCAGACTGCAAGGTGACCACAGCGGAAAAGATCGGCCTGGTGGGGCAAAATTCCAACGTTGGCATGTGTCGGGTACCACCAGCAGTTTGAAAACAACTTCACCATCCGGCTACCCCAGGACAGGTCAGTCCTTGGCTTTGAAGGGGGCAGTCGGTGGTGAAGTTGCTTAAGGTATTCCTGCTTCCCACTCTACTGCTACTGTCATGCCCGTTGCATTCGTCGTGTTAGTGTGCTGCTGGCATTGCGTGGCGATGGTCGCTTTTATCAAGATCCTGTAAATGACCCGCAGCAACGCCTCAGGTCACGTTCGATAGAACGTCAGAGATGTTCGCAAGGGTCCGGCGTGTCAATGGTGCTCAATCCGAAGTCAAGCGCTTTGAGGTAACTGCATACAGCTGGAACCTCAGATGTCAGATTTACTTCAATGCCAGCAGGGTTATATACTTGCAGTCTCTTTTCTTTGAGACGAGACGGAATTGAAACAATAGCGGATGGCGATTTTGCCAGGCTATGAGATGTCCATCGAAGTTGTAGGCCCACCACAGGGAGAGAAACATTGGCGATTTGCTCGCGGTGGTGATTTGACAGAAGAGAGGCGAGATGGCCGTGAAAGCAACATGCGAGGCATACGAGGAGCATAGCAGGATGGTTTAGGGAAGAACCCACTTGTTTTGGAACGTGCGATTGATCTCGTTTTGGAACGCGTGAGATAAATCTCGGTTTGACAACCGCTGCATCCATATGAACAGTGATGAGCAGTGTTTTCTGTCACTTTTGTTATTTTGGTTTCTTTTCCTCGTCATCTAGGTGCTTCAATTGTTTGGTTTGGTTTTTATAAAATTTGTCTCTGTGATCCGTCACTTTCTTTTAATTTTAAGGAGTATTGTTTGGTTTTAAGTTGTGTTTTTTTCTCTATTCTATGTGATTTGTTACTGTTTTTTTCATTTTTGGTGGTTGTTCTTGTCTCCTTTTTTTTCTTGGCATTTTGATTTTCTTTTGTTTTTTTCTTCCGTGGGATCTCTCACTGTTTTTTATTGTCTCGTTTTCTTTTTTTTCTTTGGCTGTGTTTTTGCTCTTTTGCTGCTGTTTTTCTTCTTCTTTCTTCTGTGTGATCTCTCACAGTTTTTTGTTTTTCTTGTCTCGTGATTTTGTTTTTTCTCGGTGATTTCTGTCTTTTGTTGTTTTCTTTGTGTCATCTCACTCTTATGTTCCGTTTTTTCTTGTCTCGTGGCTATTTTCTGTTTCTTTTTTCTTTTGTTTTTTTTTGTCTCCGGTATGAGCCACCAGAGGGCAAAATATTGAGCAGAAAGGAGTTCCGATCTGGCAAACCTAAATTGAGAGGACAAAGGAGCCATTCCAAGGTAGCTTTTGTGAGCCATCCGAGGGCATCCATGCCAAAGTAGCAGACCTTTTGTGAGCCACCTGAGGTTAACATGGAAAGAAAGAACTTTGACTGCATCCCAGAATTGCGGATGACATCGGCTTACAAACACCGAACTTTTATGTCTAGGCAAGTGACCGACTCTCAAAACTATCCTTACCGGCATAATCAAACCCATGTCATTTGGGACAGAACATGCCACACCGTGAACCTTGAAATTGAGAATCGCATAGAACTGCCCATGTCATTTGTTTTGTGGACAGAGCATGGCACACTGTGAACAATAGAAACATTGAGTGTCCTATGTCATTTGTTTTGTGGTGTGACGGCGCATTAGCTCATGACCATGAAGACCGGAAGACGCTAGTGGGAAAGTTGGTAGAATAAGGGCGTCTACCATGGAAGCGTTTCTTGCTTGCACGGGACCAATGACAAAGTGGATGTGGATTAAGTGATAACCATGCCGCCAACCTATGTCATTTGTTTTTGATGACTCTCACCACCCATATTCCAGACCCATGTCATCTGCTCATACTGATTCTGGAAAGTACCCATGTCACCTGCTGACAGTATATATACAGTAGTTGTCCACTTCGAGCTCCCAAATGTGCAGGCTGGTGCCGCTCTTTGGAACAGAGCTGGTGTCTCCTCCTTCTCCGACTTTGCCACCAGTCAGCCGCACCCGTGTCTTGACGCAAGTTCTTATGAAAGCAGAGGATAAAAACGGATAGAGTAGAGATGAGTATATAGAGTGTGCTGGTGAGAGCCCTAGATGTCCGCCTGAGTGAAGCATGGTTAGGAACCAAAGGATTAGTGCGGGCGCTTCTTCAAGGAAGCTCCCCCGTGCCCCCAGGCTGCGACAGCTTCCTTGAAGAAGCGTGAACTATCCTGTGTCCTAGCTAGTAGCGTCCTAATAGATCCTAATAGTGTGTGTTGTTGATCAATGGTGCTTTGGACAGTGGAGACTACTTAATAGCTTTAGCCTACCTCTTACATCCTGCCTTAAAAAATGGTAGTAGCAAAAATAAACACAGAGTTTTCAACTCATCAGACCGAAGCTGCAAAGGACCAACCTATTTCATCAATGCCGCTTGGCCGCCCCTATCAAGTGGGCACACAAATGGGTCAATCTACATGGGCACTTTGCTTCGGTCATCCAGTTTCACAAGATGACGCACAAACCGATGCTTCTCACCAAGGAAGGTGCTCATTGGGGCTACAGTTAGGAGCAGTGCTTCTCCACTTATGGCAAGTCGATGTAAGATGTTTCTACTTCGCTGGTTTCACCCAAACCCTGCCAAAGGCTCAGAGTACTGTATGCGGATCGCATTTCAGTGAGACTTACACTGGAATGGATCACTCAGATTTAAACTATATATATATCTTAAACTTGTTCGCTCGTATCCGCAAGTTGTTGGGTGCATACAGTTCGTGACAGAGCAGGGAGTTTGCTCAGCAAACGAATTTTGCATGCACACGTTCCATTGCCTTTAGCAATGGCTAAGAGTCTTGTGTTTGCAGTTAACGCACCAAGCTTCTCACGAATTCAGATTTGGGTGACGCTTTTCCAACAAACACCTGAGTCCACAGTCGAACAAGGGTTACAACATGTTACAAAGTTGACTGTTGACCGGACCCATGAATTACAAAGACGTGGGAGAGTCGCTGCAAGGGTAGATTTGCTCAACACTAGCGGCATAAATGTACATTGGCCTTGTATACGTTGGATCCATCAAGTGCGCTAGCATGCGCCTGCATAGTCATTTCATGCCTGTCGCTTGTGTATCCACAAGCATGTGGGGTGTGTGTGTGTGTGACATCATGGGCCCAAGCAGGGGATTTAGGGCGAACATGGATCCGTGTTGAAAGTAAGCACATGACTTGTAGTATTTTGTAGTCCTGTGCAGGGGCCAAAAAGACATGGTCAATCATAAAACCGGCACAATATGATATGTATATATATATATTTTAACATATATACATATACATTAGGTATATATATATATATTTAATATTGTATAAATATTGTATAAATAAAAAATATATATACCATGCACAGAGGGAGAGGTTGTGCGGGAACATGCTGGTGCACGATAGCATGCGAATCCACCGCATTATGAGTCATGATAGCCAGGCAATAATTGGGCGAAAAAGCGGGAACATTCTTTTTAGCTTGGCAAAGTTTCTCGTAGCCCGGGCAAATCTTTGGCCCAGACTCAACACTCCTGGCTGTGGAAGCTTGTCGCTTGTGATTCCCGTGTGATGGCACTGGGAACCATGCTTCGCCTTAAATAGGCAACAACTCTTGCAATGTACAGTGGCGCAAGGTGCATTGACAAAGGACAAGGAGCTGATTTGTTTACAAGCAAACTGCATGAGTTAATTGGCCAGGTCAATGTGTTAACCCATGTGAATGCAAGCAGGCATGGCGGCTCGTACATGAATCGATCATTTGAGGTTACTTCCTTTGCCTTGGCTTCTCAGCTGTTGCTGTCTCCTCAGTGTGTCAAGTTGTCACGCCAGCTGGCAACCACCCACACAGTCATGTGGAGATAGGTACTTAACTATATATGTGCATATATGTGCATCATTATAAGGATTTTGGACCGTAGGACCCAGTCATAAATGTGAGAGAGTGGGGTCAGCCTGGGCAGCAATGTGCGAAGAAAGCTCAGTGAGTCCACAGCCAGCTCGGCTCGAGCGGGAGTCAACCCTTTCCCGCTTTACAAATCTACTTGATATAGTTTATTCACGACAGAAGATCAAGTGCTGGCCAAAAAAGCTGGCTGCATTTCTATGCATATCCGAAGCCATCGGAGTTTGCCAGTGCACCACTCAGTCTGACACGACACACGCTTTTCGAAGGTACAGGGCAACATGACCTGTTTTGTCCAAGTGGATTTGACGGAGCAATTTGCAGAGCCGCTGGCCTAGGTGATTGCTGCAGCATTTGCGTGGCTAAGATGTGTATACTGCGTCCATCCTGACCACACAGGATGCGAGGCCGGAAAGTCAATCTCTCCTGCTTTTTACTTAGTATTTTAAAATCTTGTTTGATGTGATCTCGGCTTGTTCGGGTCCAACAGTCCAACTGCTATAACACATACCGTAAGCTAGCTGCAGAGCATCTCATGCATCTCTTCTCCAAAAATTGGGTGCTCAATTCACATCACCTCGCGTGTGGTTGTAAGATCTCATGTCGCTTCTCCACCAATCCCCATCATCGTGGCCTGATTGACCTGGTGCCAAATGACTTGTTCCAAGTCTTGCCCCTTCTGCCAGCTTTTGTCGTCACCCCTGCAACCTCAAGTGCCAGCAGGTCAGCTCCCGATCTATAGCTGAAGCAGTGCTGGAAGATGCAAGCAATTCCAGACAGGAGAGGGATTGCATTTGTTGCCAACATGTTTACCTGACGATTTGTTCCAGTTCACATCGTGGGCAGTGTATTTCTGTATATCGCCTGAACGGCGAAACAGTTCGACGAGTAGATCAACGTATGCCTTGTTTAATTTAACGATGATTCTTTTGTAGCAAAACAGAATTGGTGCACTCAACCAATCTATCAACGTGATGCGCAACCGCCTAGCCTAAACGTTTAATCTCAGTGTGCTGCTCCACTTGTGAGGCTTGTGCCTTTCTCCAGACCGATGCTTTCCATCGAGTTGTTCGTATTGACTCCCAGGAGAATCACTCGGCAGTTTGCAAAACAAACGATTCCCTGTAAAGAGAAACCATTTTCAATCGGTTATTGAGAATTTGCAATTTTAGGTACAGTCATTAAGCTTGAGTCGGGCACGCCAGCCATGGGTACAAGGAGCCAGAATAATCTTTTTAAGCAAAAACAATATTAGCCCAGCTGGAGACCCCAACAGCAAGATACAAACTGGGACAACAAAAATCTGGAAACAACTGCTGTTTTCAACACATCGACCATCTCTTCCTTGGACACCATCACAACACGACCGGAACACCAGCATCACAAGACCGGGACACCATCACAACATGACCGGGACACCATCGCAACACGACCAGGACACCATCACCACATGACGGGGACACCAGCATCAATGACCTGGACACCATCCAAACATGACCGGGCTCACCTTCAAAACATAACCAGGACACCATCACAGCATGACCGGGACA